ACTGGCCCCAAGCCCAGCCTCAGCTTCCTCTGGTTGTTGGGAGAAGGAGATCTCGATGGCAGGGGCAGAGGCCTGCACCTCGGGCTGCACGATGGGCTTGTGTGCGGCGTGGCGGGCGCTGCCAGACAGCTGGGGGCTAGAGGAGTCGTCCGAGGACTCAGAGGAGATGGACCAAGCTGTGCCGTTCTCCAGCTCCTCCTGGCGCCGCAGCATGTTCTGAAAAGGGGGAGAATGGTGTCAGCTGAGAGCCTGCTCCTCCAGCTGTCTTCCCGTCAGCTAGCGGCAGCTTGGGGGCACCAAGACTGCCATGGCTCTGCCAGCACAGCAGGATGGGCAGCGAGGTCCCAGCAGATCATGGCTGCCTCTTCCTGCCCTAGATGTCACCCCATGCCAGGGGGGAGTCTGGCTCCCCATGCCCCCATGCCCAGCCACACACAACCCAGAGCCCCAGGGTGCCAGCAGCACCCTGGCACGGCAGGATGTAACACATGGAGCCAAGGACACCATCCACCATGGCTCCAAGGACAGCAACAGCTCCAGCATTGGCTCATGGGGGCAGCACTGGCCATCACACCAACATCATGGTTCACCACCACTGAACCGATGACACACCAGTGCCATGTTAGAGTCAAACCAGCACCAAGACAGCATCACACCAGTGCTGCACCAGCACCATCACACCAGTGCCGTCACACTAGCACCACGCCAATGCCACGGCACAGCACACCAATGCCACCAGTGCAGGGACACAGAGAAGCTGTCTACTCACTAGTGCCTGGCTGTTGCACAGGGGCGAACCCAGGCTCCCTTCGCTTGAGGACTAGCTCCGCAGGACCAGCCAGACCCCAGCCTAGCAGTATCAGGCCTCTGGGCATCAGCAAGGGCTAGTGAGCAGGAGACAAGGAATGGCTACGGCTACTGTGGGATGGCCACACTGCTGGGCTAAGCTACTGGCCTGCTCCAGCCCCGCACTTACGCAGCCCTGCTGTGGCCATGTCCCGAGCTCGGCGGAGGAGACATCGCCGCAGGAGCAGCTCTGAGACAGCTTCTTGAAGAGTGTCTCCTGAAAGATGTCCAACAAGGACCAACCATGTTTGTCAGGTGCCTGCTCCAGACTCTTGGGCAGAGAGAAGAGGAGCTGTGAAGGCGGGAGGGAGGAGCAGGTGCTGGTACCGGGGAGTTGTGGCTGTATGGCTGGAGAGAAGCTGCCCACCCCTGTCCCTGAGCTATGTCACCCTCTGAGACGTAGCCTAGGCACATCCCTACATGGACCCCTCCACTGGCCACCTCTCCTGAGCGGCTCTGCCTGGTGCCACACTTACATAGAATGCCTGTTCCCGCAGGGACGGCGTGTCAGGCGGACTCTGGTTGTAGGTGGAGAACCTCTTATTCACCGTGGAAGCCTTGTTGACGGTGCTGGCTGTCGAGGGCTGGTCGTCTTTGTCAAAGGGGCTGGGGAGGATAGCAGGGAGGTAAGGGGTGTGTGCCAGCCTGGGGGAAGTTCTCAGGACGTCAGGACCTCCTCCAGTCCAGCTCTGGTTTTCCATAATTACAGCCCAGTTAGGCGATAGGAGAGAGCCCAGGGCAGGTCACCTCTTGCCACACCATCCTGAACATCCCCAACCCTGCCAAGTGCCACCAGCAATGCCTGCTGAGGTACTCACTTCCAGGTCACTTCCAGGCTGAGTTTGAGAGTGCCCAGGTCGTTGATATCCACAGCCACTACCTGGGGCAGAGCCGCAAAGAGATCCTTGGTCTCACAGGACACATTGCCCACCACAACATGGTTGGCCAGGCTCTTTAGCTCTGTCACCTGGAGAAGGAGTAGAGGGAGAAGAGGAGGAGATGAAGCCATGGGCCAGTGAGGATGAGATTTAAGTGAGGTGTTGGAGGGAAACCCAGGAAAGTGGTGGAATCACCATCCCTGGAAGTGTTCACAAAAATGCGGATGTAGCACTTGGGGACATCATTTAATGGTGCACTTGGCAGTGCCAGGTTAACTGTTAGACTTGATGATCTTTTCCAACCTAAATGACTTTATGACTCTATGATGCAGGAAGACAACTGCCTCACACCATCCCTGCCCCCTTCTGCACTGTACCTTGATGGACAGGAACTCGGTGACAAGGGGCAAGAAAACCATTTCCTCGCTGTCCCACACCTGCTTGCTGTTCACCTCAATGCGCCCCCGCAGCTTCCACCGCTGCCGTCCATACTTCATGAAGATCTGGGGGTGCAGAGGGGTGGCTATGGAGGAGACACGCCACCAGGCTGATGGGTGTTCTCTGTGTGTCCCCAGGCATTGCCATGGACCCATGCCACCCACCACCACCTTGCAACATGCCCTCTACACCAGCGCCCACCTACGCCCCCCAGGCACCCCAAGGATCACAGGGCAGGAGAAGAGCAGATCCCAACCCATATGGTCCCACCAACCTCATACTGGTCACCAGCACAAAGCCGGGCAAAGCCTGCCAGTCCTGCAAGAGAAGGCAGAGGGGTGTCAGCAGGCAGCAGGCAGGCAGGCAGGCAGCAGGATAGGGATGGAGCAGGACAAAGTACCTTTCATCCGGACATGGAACTCGCCCAGCTGGCTCTCCAACTCGTTCTCCAACAGACACATGTTCTGAGAACAGACAAACAGATGAACAGGACCCATCAGCAGCCACCCATGGGACACTGCACCCTGCCAGCCCACCCAGCCAGCTGCCTCACCTCTGTGTACTCCTTGTAGCCCTTGCTGGCCTCGGCCAGGCTCTCACGTGCCTCCCGGCTGCCTGGTGAGCCTGTGCTGTAAGCCTTGACCATGTTGTGGGCTCCATCGCGGAGCCGCCGCTGGATGCAATAAGCCTCGTACAGCTCATCTATCTGCAAGGACAGGCACAAGCTGAGGTGAGGGACAGGGCTGGGGACAGCGCAGACACCCCAGTGCTGCACCAAGGTTACCCCAAGACAATCCCAGTCCCCAGCTCTCACCTTGCTGGCATGAAACTCCAGGCGCCGCAGGAAGCGCTCGATTGACTTCACTTGCTGGAAAAGCAGAGGAGATGGTGTGAGCAGCAGCCCAATCCCTCAGTGAAGGAGCTGCAGGTCGGGATGTGCCCTCTGCATTCCCTTCACTGCAGCTGGGATGGGTCCTGGTCACCAGCTCTGCCTAGCAGCTGCGGGGTGGCAGCCAGCAGGAAGCTCCTACGTGCTGCAGCCTCCTCCAGCCTCCCCCGCTCCAGAAGGTCCTCCAGGAGCCAAGTCAGGCTCTGGGGTGCTTTTCCCCAGCCTCAGAGCTAACCCTGGTACAGCACTCACTAACAACAGCTTTTGTTTGCAAGAAGTGGGTTACAGGCTTCATCCCCTGCTCAGAGCCACCCTGTCTGCAGAGCCTCGATCCCCCCCAGTCCCGGGGAACAGGCAGCAGGGCAGTGCTAGCAGAGCGGGGCTGGCAGTAACACATCCCAGGTGCTCAGAAAGGGGATACAAGAATGGGGCACTGATCCTGCTTACCTTATCCAGATCGTAGAGAAAGCCCTAGAGGAGAGAGGAGAGGGATAAGACGCAGCACAAAGCCAGCTCTGCCCTCCCAAGGAGACCCAGCACATTGCACCCACCACCCATAGCACGACGGCAGGGACATGCAGCACCCAGCTGGGGCTGGAGAGCCCCGTGCAGCCCACCAGCAGAGCCTGGGCTGACCCCTTACATCCCCAAAGAACCAGGCTCTGCCCCGAGACACAAATAAGACCACAAGCTGCCTCAGCTGTGCCCACAACCCCAGCCACCTGCCCAAAGCACAACTCCCTGTAAGGCTCTTCCCAAGTGGCACTCACCAGGCGCGAATTTCTCTTGGACTCACGGATCTGGGTGCTGAGCTTCTCCAGTTCTAGCTGATGCACCTCCAGGTACGCTCTGGGAGCAACCACACCATGGGGGTCAGGCTGGTATGCCATGTCCAGGGCGTCTGCCACCCACAGCCCACACCAATCCAGCACCCCTGGCACTGCATCCCCACTCCCTGTTCCAATACCCAGGTGTGGTAACCCAGATATACCTGCCTCTACATGGGATGTGGGACCCCACACAGTTCTGGGACCCCAAGGCACCATTACGAGGAGACCTGGCATGTCCCTGCCTGGTGAGACCAGAGAGCTGTCAACGCCAACCCATGTCACGAGCTGTCCCCGTGCCCCTCAGGGGCTCCCTGCCTCCACCCACCCAGAACTTACGTCAGGCCTTTCTTGAGAGCTTCATACACCTCGTCCAGGCGGTTGGGCTGAGGCACCTTGGGTGGTGGGGATTTGTGGGACATTGAGAACATCCTACTGACCCTGGAGCCAGTCTTGCGGGACACAGTGGGGGTGAAGGGTGAGAGGTTCCTGGGGAGATAACCAGGCAAAGTCAGGGTGGCTGGAGTCAGTACCCAACACCAGGGTCCTCCTGGGTACCCCAGCCTACCAGGCACCCTGTTTTGAGACAAGGAGGAGCTCCAGGATGGAGGCCAGGTCCACCAGAACCTCTCTGCCTCTCCCAGGACTCCCCAGCAGCAAGTCTAAGCAGCCAGCAGGGCTAGGAGACATGGAGCCATGAGGCTGAGCAGTGCTGCCTGCACTACATTCTTGCCTCCCCCACCTCAACGCATGGCTCCCACAAAGCCACGGGAAGGACAAGGAGAAATACGCAAAGGTGGAGGTGAAGAAGAGTAGGGAGACAACACCATCCCAGCAGGGTCCAAGAGTCTGGCCACAGGGTAGCCTGTGTGGAGGTGAGGGGTCACTGGTGCTGGTTGAGGGGAGCAAAAGCAAATGGAGATAGCACCAGCTGGAGCCAAGTTGTGTTCCTGGAGTGTCCACAGGGACATCTCCAGTCCTGGTTACCCTCTGAAGGGACCATGCTCTGCTCCATCCCCAGCACTCCAGGTTGGCAGGGATCCCTTCTCCTAGCACCCACCAAAGCTCCCTACCTCCCAGTGCACTCACCAGTGCCAGGTGCATGGAGATGCTCCCTGTGCTCCAGGCACTGTGGTAGGGTGACACATGACACCTTTGGCTTGACAGCCTGCCACCAGGATCAGGCAGGGATCCCAACGGGTAGCAGCATGGGAGCATCCTGGGGACTAGCATTCCTGTCACCCCACCACACAGTGCAGCGACACGGGGCAGGGACATCCTCACTGATGCTATGCCTCTCCAGATGTCACCAAACCTGCTGGATGGAGCTGTCTCCACCTGTCCCACCGATGCTGCGGGGTCCTCCCCAAGCCAACCCACAAAGTGCTGACCCAGCGCCTGGGACCCGAACAACACCCTTCCTGCCTTGTGCAATGGAGTCACTCCCCAGCCCAGCGAGCAAGGCCTTGCTCAGACTGGCTCTTCCTTTCCTCCTTCCAAAGCATCATCACGCCACTAGTGCCCAGGAGACACCATGGGCTCCTCAATTCCCAGCCTCAGGCTGTACCTCCCATCCTGTGCTGCTTTTCACAGCAGTGGCCAAAAGACTTCCCCGAATCATCGGTGGGGGAAATGAATGTTTTGGCTTCCTCCCAAGCTGGAGAGCTGGGTAAACACTCAATTTCCAGCATTCCTTCCCATTCCAGTCTTCCAGGTACCCTGGAGGCTGGTCCCCACCAGCCACTTGGCTGCAGACATCCAAAAAGTCCTCCCTCTTCCCCATCCCCAAGCAACCTCCTCTAACATACCCAGACTCAGAAAAGTGCTGGTGCCCTGGAAAGTGTCACTTGGCCCAGAGCCTGGACAGGACCTGGCGACAAGAGCTGAGCAGAGCTGGAGGTCTGCTCCTGGGCACAGGGAGGCTTTTTCTGGGCTTGTGCCCACCCAGAGAAGATGCCCATAGCCTGGCCAGGCAGCTTGGCACTGCTTTCCTTGGCCATTTGGCTGAGAGACATCTCCTCCTGGCACTGGTGGGTGTACTGGGAGGTAAGGAGTTTGGGTGGGTGCTAGAAAAAGGGATTAAAAGCATTAAATTGCCTCAGTCCCACAACACAAACCCATGGCATTCCCAATAACCACCCGCAAGAGGGTAGCCAGGAGCTAGGGACGGTGTGGAGGCAGGTGGCAGGGATGAGCAGCATGTAGGGTGGTTCTCACCAAGGGGAGGCTCAGCAGAGAGGAGAAGGAAGATCATGATGGGACCATAACATTGTCAGTTATCAGAGAGGGTGAGTAGGAAACAGCCACTCCTCGCACTGCAGCTGACAGGCAGCCAGTAAAACCTCTCAGTGACAGGTGTAAGGTGACCCTGAGGAAACCCTGATTCACACCAGTACTCAAACCCCGAAACTGACTGCCGCAGGATGTCAAGGCCATCATGACACTTCAAAGCCACCCCAGCTCCACTGCACCCATTAAACATGATGAGGTGGTCACAGGGAAGCTCTTAAAAGCTGGTTGAAGAATGAGGTGAGCTACACCTGTCCCCTCCATGCTTTGGTGGCAGCAGACATGGGGCTGCAGGGTCCTCACCCCACCTAGGGCACCGCATGGCAGAGGGTTGGGGTGAAGTACTCTGTCTCACAACTGGCTTCAGTGCTCTCTGCAGCCTCCCATGCAACAACCCCTGGGTACCACAAAGGTCCCTGAGGGAAATTACAGGACAGTGGGTTGAGAAGGAGTCTCAGAATGCACAGCAAGTCCCACCACAATGCCCCAGGCTGTCCCTGTCCCCATCCCCTGTGGCAGGCAGCATGAGCACCTATCTCCTACCTGAAGGGCCGGTCGGCCGATGAGTTCACTCCGGCGAAGGACTGGCTCCTATTGATCTTGGTGACGAGGACTCGGCGCTGCGGGCGCACAGACAGTGACATCGTTGAGTGTGACCTGGAGGGCCTCCCTGGGGACAATGAGACAGCAGGGTCACCAGCAGCAGGGTGGGGACATACACGCAGGCAGGGCCGCCACCAGGATCGGGAATGGCACTCACAAACCATGGGCTAGGAGCCTTCCCACGGACCATGGGCAAGGAGCCTTCTCATCATCTCAGCCCAGGAACACTCCTTGTGGCACTGGGACAAACACAGGCCCCATGCTGCCATGCATCCCCAGGGATGCTGCTGGGGCCCTGCCCTGGGTGAAGAAGGACTCTGGACACTGTGAGCACTCAGTGGGGACAGACAGATGTGTCCCAGCTTAGCTCCATGGGAGCCACGGGAAGGGGCTGATGCCAGGTGGCTACCATGCCCTTCTCAGACGTGACCATGGCAAAGCCTATACTCTGCCCCAGCCTGGACACCTCTCACCTTGTCCTACATCCTGCTGTCACCCGTGCCACCCTGCTGCAGGGGCAGGAAGGGCGCGGGGCTGGACCAGCCCTTTGCTGTCTCCGCACTTGCTTCCGCTTGCTCCAGCAACCAGGAGGGAAACCCAAAGATAACAAAGCACTTTGGAAAGTCCCCAGCTTTGCCAGGAGCTCTGTGTTGGGAAAGAAAAGGCCGAGCCATTCCCTGCCAGACCCTGGAAAATCCACATGGGCAGCACATGTCCATCCCCACAGCAGCTGCACCCCTGCCCTCTGCTCCTGGCAGTCACAGTGCCAGGAGACCTGAAACCACTACTGGTACCTGCCTGCCTTCCTGTCCCCACCACGGCCAGTGCAGTTGATGACAACCATGATGGAACAAATTTCTGAGTCTTGGGGCCTGGACCTGGCTGTCTCCCCATGTCACAGGGAGCATCCCTGCAGCCCTGGCCAGGGCTTGGGGAGGGCAGCCCAAAGCACAGGTCAAGAGCAGGGGCATCCAGGGCTCCTGGCCCTGCCACCCCCAGCAGTGCCAGCTGGGCACAGGAGAGAGAGAACTCAGCCTGCAGGACAGACACAGAGGAACAGGATGTGAGATGCTCCACTTCTTCCAGCCACTGCTGATGCCAGCTCAGTCCTATCCCTCCCAGCCCTGAGCAGAGCTGTGGGCTGGGGAGCCAGGAGCTACTGGAGATGAGCCCACACAGTGCCCAGTAGTCACACACCCTGCCAGGGAAGGCCAGGCAGGGCCCAAGGGATGCACAGCTTCCCTGGCTGGTAGACTGGGTCAGAACCACCTCCCCACATCCTTAAGGGGCTCCCTCCTGCCTCCAGCATGGCCGACAGCCAGTGAACAGCACAGGGACGCAGGCACTGCCAGAGCTTCTGCCGCCAGCCCCACTCCTTCCCCTGGCACAACGTGCCCGGGACTCCAGCTCCACCTGGCCCTGCATGGCTCACACTCACTCAGGACACTGGTGGGCATAAACCCAGTGCTGTGTCCCTCACCACCCCACACAACAGGCTGAGGCCAGGGATTTGCAGTGCCTGGGATGAGCCGGAGCCATTCAGAGTCAAAGCTAGCCACCGCCGCTCACCTCTATCCCAGTGGATCTGGGAGGCAGCAGGTCCATCTGGTTCCCCCTTGGCACTTAGGTCCCAGCCCAGGACCACGGAGCCGTTCAGTGGGTCCCACAGACTCGGTGTTATCTGAGTGCCAGTCCCTCCAGTTTCCAGGACAACACTGTCCCAATTAAGCTCATTAGGAGGAGCTGTAATCCCTGGCAGCCCGGCTGACCTGCAGGCCAGGGCAGATTACCCTCTGCAGGGCTCTTTAATCTGCTCCCCACTGAGCGAGCCAGGCCTGTGGCACCCATGTTTGCTCCCCAGCTGGGCAGTACAGCGGCTCATCCACAGAGACAGCACCCACCACCCCTAGGATGAGGTTCTCCATGTCTGGAGCAGATCACAGCTCCTATGGGGTGAGTACAGTCCTGCCAGCCCATCCTTCTCCAGCCCACATTGCTGTCTGGGAGCACTGTGGGGGGCTCTAAAGAGGGTCACCCAGGCAGGAGCCTGAACTGAGGAAGGATGCTGAGGGTGTCAGAGGAGAGAAGGATGCTGAGAGTATCACAGGGAAGAAGGATGCTGGAGGCATAACAGGGGAGCAGGATGCTGGGGGTATTGCAGGGGAGAAGGATGCCAGGGGCATCACAGGGGGAGAAGTGCCACAGGGGAGAATGATGCTGGGGGTGTCACAGGGAAAGTAGGATGCTAGGGGTGACATGGAAGAGAATGATGCTGTTGGGGACCAATGCCCCAACACAAATCCCCAGCAGAGTCAGAGTAATTCCTAGCCACTTGCCCAGGCATCCCAGAGGCTCCAGCACCCGCCTGTGGCATGCTAGGTTGTGCTCCAAAGCACTGAAGGGTCCTGCACTGACACAGGGAGCAATGCCACAAGCAGTGGCTGCCGACAGAACCACATCCCTGCACTTCAGTTCTGGGACCCGGGCCATCTCCGAACAAGCCTGGTGATGCACCATGGCACCCTGCATCCCCAGGCCTGGCACCCTGCAACCCAAATCCTGTGCCAGGACCCCAGACTCCCTTCAAGCAGGGGGACATCGTGCTCCTGCTCTGTGGGAGCAATGTTGCAGGAGCAACAAGGATGCTCGAGCCCAGCACTGGTGGGCAGCCAGCCGGCTGACAGAGGGCAGCACTGCCTGCATCAGGCAGGGCAGGCAGGGTGTGGGGTCTCTGCTCCTGGCACGCTTGGGCTTGGCTCACGGAGGAGGAAAAAACCCAGCATAGTGCATTCCTGACATTACCGAGATAAGAGGTACCTGGTACCAGCAGCACAGAGAGCCCCAGTGGGGAGCAGAGCATGAGGCATGCTTGGAAAGGACCACTGGCCACTGCATCTCGCCCAGGCTGGCGAGCTCCACGCCAGGCTTACCGGGAGGCTGGCACCAGCACAGCACCGGCACATTCACATTCCTGCCATGGGCTAAGCCCCAAGCACATCCCTCCCTCTCCTGAGCAAGAGACACAGAGGTTCTGCCCCAAAGGTTTAGTCCTGCCAGCCCCACTGCCCACTGCCCTTAATTAGGGCTTCGGCGCTACGAACCTGCCCCCCGATCAAGCTTTTCACCTTTTCTGCACCACAGACTGGCTCCAGCTCTCCTGGCATAGGAAACGCAATCCTGGGAGTCTGTCCGTCTGTTCGTCCTCGGCAAGCACTACCCACAGGCAGCGGCCAAAAGGGCAGTGAGCAGCTGGGCAGGCAGCTCAGCGTGGGGTGCTGGAGCCCACCCTGGGGCTCT